TGGTTAAGGATGCTGGACTCCCACATGGCTGACCACGGTTCGAGTCCCAAACCTGGCAGTTTGCTTTCTCACGTCCTCTCTCTCTTCCTTTCTGGTCAAATTAAAATAAATAAATAAATAAAGTTAAATAATAATTATTCTTTTAAAATGTAATAATAATAAATAAAATTAGTTATTTTAAAATTTATTTATTACAAACATTTTTGAGTGACCAGCAGTTAGGGGAATGGCTATGTCGCTGGACTCCCACGTAGTCGACTATGGTTCGCGTCCCGGACCCAGTGGCTTAAAACTCACGCCAGGCACGTGTGCGTGCGTGCGTGCCCAAGATCCCGAGAGGAGAATGGAGGAGAAGGGATTGCGGCGTGACTATCCCCCCTGGGGGGTGATTTCTGTCTTTCTGTCTGTCTTTTTCGCGAGCGCACGCGCCCTATAGCAAAAACCTCTTAAAAAAAAAAAACCCAACAACAAAATAATCCCAACAGGCCTGTATGGATCCCAGCCTCTGCTGTGTGACCTGGCTAGGCCCTTGGCCTCTCTGATCCCAGACAGAATAGTCCCTTCCTTACACACAATTGGAAACACAATTGGGGTGGGGTGGTCAGCTGGAGCAAGCCGTGCCTGCACTCCACCCCATATGCGAAACTGAGCGGAGAAGGCCTCTCTCATAAAACAGGGCTCCCTGACTGGGAGAGGGGTAGGGTCCATCCTGGTGTCTCTTGTCCTCACAGACACTGAAGCGGAGGGGTGTGGGCCTTGAGGGGCCAGAACTGGAGCCAGATGAGGGGCCTGAGGGACCCGGAGAGAAGCTACGGCGGCTGGCAGGGGAAGGAGGTGACCCAGCCTTGCCCCGACCCCGGCTCTATGTAAGTGACCCTCCCATGCATGGGGTCCTCGCCCTACCTCTAGAAACCTAAGGCTTGGAATTTGCCTTAGTGGGCAGGGAAGACTACTTCAAGGAGTGGGCATTGTAGCTGAGGTTTTGAAGGATGAATAGGAGTTCAACAGACAAGCGTTTCTTCCTTCTTTTTTTTTTTTTCTTTGATTCATCCAATACCTGGGTCAACCCCTTCAGCACCAATTCTGTGTAGAATGAGAGGCCTCAGCTCTGGGCCTGGCTGTCCAGGAAAGATAAAACCAGACACAGGCTTTCCCTGTGGGTTTAGCCAAGGGAGTTTCCTGAAGGCTTCCTGGAGGCGGAAGCTGGCCCTAGACTCATGGACATTTTCTCTAGTGGGCACGGTTCTCCCACCCACCCTGCCTCTCTGCCCACAGCCTGCAGCTCCCGCTATGCCAACCCCGGATATAGTGTACGGGGCCCTGCCTCCGCCAGGCTGCGACCCCAATGGGCTTGGGGAGGCCCTGCCCGCCCAGAGCCGCCCATCTCCCTTCCGACCGGCAGCCCCCAAAGCTGGACCCCCAGGTGAGATTTGAGCATGGGGCTTGGACCCTGGGTGGGTGCCTGGAGGGAGTGGAGGTCCCAGAGTTGGGGGAGTGTAGGGTGGATCTCAGCACTGATGCTGCCAGGCTCTGCCTGGACACCCGACATCATTAGGGACCAGCAGTTAGCGTCATGGCTATGTTGCTGGACTCCCACGTGGTTGACCGCGGTTCGAGTCCCGGACCCGGTGGCTTAAACTCACACCGGGCGCGTGTGTGTGCGTGCCCAAGATCCCGAGAGGAGAATGGAGGAGAAGGGATTGCGGCGTGGCCATCCCCCCTGGGGGGTGATTTCTCGCTTTCTATCTCTCTGTCTCTCTCTGTCGGGCGAGCGCACGCGCCCTATAGCAAAAACCTCTCCAAAAAAAGAATAAAAAAACCTGACATCATTAGATGACATGACCCATCTGCCCCTTCTGGGGTCCCCTCCTCCCCAGGCCTGGTGCACCCTCTCTTCTCACCAAGTCACCTTGCCAGCAAGACACCACCCCCGCTGTACCTGGCCGCAGACGGGCGGAGGCCGGACCTGCCCGGTGGCCTGGCGGGGACTCGAGGGGGACTGAGCGCCTCTGTGAGTAAGAGGAGGGTGCGTGAAGGGAGGCTGACGGGGGCAATGGGGGGTCGGCCTCAGGTTCCCCTTTATCGTGTCTCCCCCACAGAGAAGCCTCTACGGGAGCCTGCAGAGTCCCTGCTCCGCTGCAGCCCCGGGACCCCCGCTGGGGAGCTTCCCCTTCCTCCCTGCAGGACCCCCAGGTAGGCCACCCCCCCACACACACACCTGCCCTGCCCGGAAGCCTCCACGCACCTGCTCGTCGAAGGTTCCAGACTCCCCCATGCCCCAGAATGGGAGCAGGTGGGACCAGCAGATGGTGGAATGTTTACATGGCTGGACTCCCACATAGTCGATGGTGGTTCAAGTCCTGGACCGGGTGCCTTGAAATTTACATTGTGTGTGTGTGTGTGTGTGTGTGTGTACGCGCACACACACACACACGTGTACGTGCGTGCCCAAGATCCAGAGAGGAGAATGAAGGAGAAGGGATTGCGGCATGGCCATCCCCCTGGGGGGCGATTTCTTGCTTTCTTTCTCTCCGTCTCTACGGAGATCTCTGTCTCTCTCTCTGTCTCTTTGGCGAGCAAAAATCTTTCTGTTGGGACCAACAGTTGGCGTCATGGCTATGTCGCTGGACTCTCACGTAGTCGACCGCGGTTCGCGTCCCGGACCCAGTGGCTTAAACTCACACCGGGTGCGTGTGCGTGCGTGCCCAAGATCCCGAGAGGAGAATGGAGGGGAAGGGATTGCGGTGTGGCCAACCCCCTGGGGGGTGATTTCTCACTTTCTGTCTCTCTGTCTCTCTCTCTGTCTCTCTGGTGAGCGCACGTGCCCTATAGCAAAAACCTCTCCAAAAAGAGAAAAATCTCTCTTTCAAAAAAGCAAAAGTAGGGACCGGAAGGTGGACTCTCACATGGCCAACTGTGGTTCAAGTCCCAGACCCGATAGCTTGATTTTTCTCTCTCTCCCTCCCTCTCTCT